AAGAAGATAAATATGGAATATCACTAATTTTATACTCTAAGGTGCACTGCACCATTTTCAACGTGTTAGTCTGGAGTGTAAAATGATAAATGTGGTAAAGGGCCACTGGGGAGCAGGAGGAGCTCTTTTAAAAATAACAAGCCTTTGCAGAGAGTAGATAAGTAATACATAATATGTTAACCTATGATGCTGTTTTTGCTGCAAAGTCTACAGAGGAGAGTTAATCTACTTGAACAGAACATGTATGACTACCCTCTCTACCACTAATTATTTCGATATACAACTCACACAAAAGCAGCACGTTTCTTCTTGTCTTTGTATGAGAACTTGTTTACAGCTCGTTGTCCACCCTCCAAGAGAAGATGCTGGATGCCAGCAGCATGCCTGGCAGACCCTCCCCCACCTCTTTCATCTCTCTCTCCAATTATTGCCACACCTGACAGACTGCGATAATTGATTGTGCTGAAGGAATTACAGTGTCTGCTACTGATGCGCTAGGTGCTTAAGTTCACATCCTCAGACACATTAATATGGAAATCCCTGTAAACTAAATGATATATGTCCCCCTTTTTATGCAAATGTTTTAGAACCAAGCCAGTTATGACTTTGATGTTTTGCTTGGAAGAGCCTTGGTTTCGACTATATTTTCTTGGCCTGGTGTACTGCTACCAATTAAGTGCTACATTCAAGATAAAAGTCCCTCTAACCTTTATGACAACGGCCTTTAATGTTGCTCTGTTGTAGTGCGTCTTCTTCATGGTTTGGTATTTAAGGAGCATTTGTGCCCTACCTAAGCTTACAGGCATGCCTTTTATAATTGAGTGCATTGGATTGTGACTCTGATTTTTAATGCATACAGTAGTGTGCAGTGTTTATGAGGTTGTCCAGTTGATTAGTCCAAATGAATGTCACCTGAGCAGATGCAGAGATGGATAAACTGAAAACACTGATAAGCTGATTACTCGTTAGTCGTTAAAGGTCAACGCCACAGTTGCATGTCCGTCCGACTCTTGTGAATGCGATATATCAGTAATGCCTTTAGGAAATTTCACTACCTTAGGCCCACAAATCAATTTGAGTTCAAGGATAAACTAATTAGAGTTTGATTATCAAATGTCACTGTAACCCCACAAAACAAGTTTTGGCTATAACTCAAGAATCTGTCTGTTAATTATGACAATTTTTACAAATGTGCAACATGATAAAATGATAAAATGATGACATTTTGTGTCCAAAGGGGCACAGGTCACTTTCACTGTGACATTATAATGTTGTACTAATATGCTTTTTTAGTTATAATTCAACATTGTTGCTCAGATAATAAAGTGGTGGCTGATTGCTGTAGTGCTAATATTTCACAGCAACACACATCCATGCAGGAACATCCATTAAGACGTACTAAGCTGATAGATGGTAATAATTCATGGTTCCGTCATTAACCGTAGAAGCATTGAAACCTGTGAACTGGAATCTAAGATGGTTGGTCAAAAGTGCTGAGATCATTTTTTATTTTTAGGAACTTGCAAAAATAGGAGTATATGGACCAGGAGCAATGCTTCCTCTTAAGTAAGCATTGAATTTGCACACAATTATAGATGCAACATGACTTGAGCTAAGAACAGTAAAGGTACCCAGTCCATTTTTATTATATGCATCACTGTATTGTTGTTGTAATTCAAAAAGATTAAATATCAAACGTTCATACTTTTTTTTGTTTACAGTAATTTCAGAGATTAGAAACAATGTGCAGCATGCCTCAGGTTAATAAAAGGTATTTATGAATGTACTTCATGTGGTATAGGAATGAATGCTTCCAAATGAGCAGACAACATTGAAATTACATGAACTACACTTATTATTTATTCAAACAAAACTACCCAAATCACAATTTGTATTTTATTGATCTCTGATCAAGTTTAGTCATACAGAACATAACGTTGCCAGTTTTTGCTCTGACTAATTATTTTATATTTTCCAGGATAACAGAAGTATTCTCTCTGGAAAGACACATTGTTCATTGTTTCAAACACAAACTAAATCCCATATTCCAGTCACATTGTGGAAGCAGTCGCTTGAGGTGATGCACTTACATTAAATTAACAGGTGGATTTGTAGCTCTACTTGTGAAACTGTGCATGCAAATCCAATGAAAATTACTGCTACTCTTTTAGCTTAATTTTAGTATTTCTCTGTATCTCTGTGAACTACATGGATCTGAGTACTAAGCCACAGAGGACTTCACACATCACCACATTGTCTAATTTTAATATCGTGACCAATTAATTTTATTTTATTCAACTCATTACCCCCTGTCCTTGGTGTAATTGTACATTTAGCTGTTAATCACAGTTACCTAATGTTGTTATAATGTTTTATGGTGCCACAAATTTACCTGAATCATGGATTCTTTATCTCTTGTACACAGAGGCAGTTAAACTCATATTTTTGTAAAGTAAAAGAAAATGTTGACTGGTTCTCTGCATGATGAACATGATGCACATCTGCAGAGCGGAGGTTCAGCAGCGTTGCCGTGAAGGCCTTGCCTGCCGGTAGGGATTGGTTAGGTCTTATCTTGATGGGATGGTTTGACAGGTACTGCATCACATTAAAGGCCTTACCAATCTTCCCTGTCACTTCCAGCAGGAGGCTCCCAGATAGGGCAGCCCGCGCTCTCCCCCAAAATCCCCTCTAGTTTTCTCTCCTCTCACCCACGTTGATGCACAACATATTGAATTTTCTTCGAGTTTCAAAGACAAATTAAAGACAGTACATGAGCAACATTGTTTACTTTGTGTCAGAAGTCAAACACATAGACTCTGACTTTCTACCATGTGCCTATGTTTTCTGAATTGGAGTCTTCTCTTAATCATTAACAACAGTCTTTTTGCAGCTTTTAACACAATTCCAGTACAGTCAGCCTTTTCTTGCAGTCCTCTACTATTTGTAAACATGAGTGTTTGCCAAATATATCTTTATTCTATTGTGCAGAGTGTTTTTAAGACATGTTTTTCAGTTGTCACCTTCATGCACATCTGTCGGAACAGATATGGTTTTCTTTTAATCTGCACAGGCAGTATAAAAGTTCATATTTTACTGTGCCATAAATTTCATTTCAAGTGCATGTTACCACTTAAGATTATCTTTCTGTGTTTTTTGAGCATGTATTAGGGTTTAGACAGATTGAACACCAGAGATGCGGTTCTGCCACAGTGCTGCTCACAGTACACTTTCTATGTAGACACACTCTTAGTCTTAGGGCACAACCACAGCTCAGGTATTTCTATATTTGTCAGAGAAATGCAGTTATGCAGCAACCCAGTCTCACTGCAATTTGTGAAATAGCCACGAAACTTAGTCTGTTGATTTGTGTCCAGGGACACGAATTGCCCAAATTTTTTCGTGTCCCCCACCACGAATTTTAAATCAATACATTTCAATTGGACTTATCTTTCGAGTCTGGGCCACATTTTTCCCCCTATTAGACAGCACATATGCTGTGATGTTTTTGTCGTTCTTTTCTTCCGACAGTCAGGCATTAACCAGTTTTACTGTTATGACCCGTCCACACAAATAACTATAGAGAGCACTATAAGATGTGTGCGCCCACACTGACGAATATTAACATTCTGTAAACACCAGCGCTGAGTATAAGCTCCATATCCGTTCAAATAGAAAACGCAAAAAATATCCAGGCAGTAAGAAGCTGTTCTTAGATAGCGCTAAAAGTGATCCCAACGATATCGTTCAATAACTATTATTGTTTATTTATGATAAAATATATGCGCTCTTACTCTGTTTGGGCTACATGCTCATTGTGACTTTCATTTCTCTGTAAACAAATACAACTCTGAAAAGAAGGACACATGCAGGAAAACGGCGACCGAAAGATGTACTGTGATCGCAGCGATGGATGGCCGTTCCTCCTAAATGGAGGGTGAAATATAAAACTTTAAGTGCATTTAGGGGTTTACATTTATGAGGAACGCGTTTATTTGGACTGACTTTACAAATGAAATTGATATGGCCTCTCAGACATTATTGTTTATGTTTGACTGTCGGACGAAATGAACGACAAAAACATCACAGCATATGCGCTGTCTAATAGGGGAAAAAAGCATGGTCCAGACACGAAAGATTAATCCAACTGAAATGTATTGATTTGAAATTCGTGGTAGGGGACACAAAAAATGTGTGCAATTCATGTCCCTGGACACGAATCAATAGATTACATTTTGTGACTATTTCATGAATTGCCGTGAGACTGGGTTGCAACCATGCAGCCATGCACACAGACTGAAAGTTCTCTAATATATAGCACAGTGCAACAATTTTGTAATTTAAAGTAAAGTGAATATGCCATGAATAGTTTTTATCTATAATTTAATGTCATAAAAAGTGTATGGAGATGTCAATATGTGGTGTGAGCATGAATTTTCTTAGGTGCACTGATGCACAATTTTTCAAGATCTGGTTGCATGTCTGGGCATATTGTAATGCTGCAGAAGAGTTTGGGACTGTACAGATGCCTCTCTGGTAAGACACTAAGCATCTTAAGGGCCTATCCTCTATTTACATATTCACAGAGAGTTTATTCGGTTGTTGGTAATCAATAATCAGTGACACTTCTTCCTTTTCAAGTCCTTAATGCAGTGGCTTAAATTTCACGCCTTTCAGAGAAGGGCTTTAATTTCAAAGTGCTGCAGAAGTGGTATGGGCATGAGCAATTGGTGAATATCTCTTCAGTTAACAAGTGGCACAAGTACATACATAATGAAACCATAATTCACTTTGTGTGTGTGTGTGTGTGTGTGTGTGTGTGTGGATGTGGATGTGGAAGTATACAGTGCATTAAGATTCTATGTTGTTTACTTTTTTTCACTAGACAAGAACATATCACCTTTTCTTACTCTCACCTGCAAGTCACAGTCTCAAATGCCTTAAATAATGCATAGGACAGAGTTTGTTTTTACTTGAACTCTGTGTTGTCGTCTGTGGGTTAGGTGGAGTCCACCCAGAGCATGATTAGGATCCTTGGACTGTCAGCCACCCTACCCAACTACCTGGATGTGGCTACCTTCCTCCATGTCAACCCCTACATTGGCCTCTTTTTCTTTGATAGTCGCTTCAGGCCAGTGCCTCTCGGACAGACGTTTGTTGGCATCAAAACCACCAACAAGGTTCGTACCAATGTTGATATGACTGTATCTGAAGACCAATAAGACTTTTGCATACATAGGCGGTTTTCTTCTTTAAGGTGATGCATGCATGCAACATATGGAACCCTGACAAAGATGTCATTGCATAAAGAAGTCATGTGTTTTATTGACTTGCCAAAAATAATGATCTGATTTTAGATTATCTCTGACATTTCAGTGACAGTAAGTGGTAACAGCACACAGATGAGATATGATGAGCCACAGATGTGCTTACAATAAGTTAGATTAGATTAAAACATTCATCAGTTCATTTAAATTGTTTATTGTGTTTTTTATGTCCTCTTCAGATTCAGCAGATTCATGACACGGAGGAGGTTTGTTACAACAAAGTTCTGGAACAAGTTAAAGCAGGTCATCAGGTAATGGCTTTTCTTTATGTTCAGACTGTATAAGAATGTAGCCATCTGTGTGTAAGTGAATGCAATTATGAGAGTATGCATTGGCTTTCTGATGATTCAATTCTAAAGTATTTACTACCTTTAAATAGCTTTTTGTTGTTGTTGTTGTTGTTTGTTTGTTTGTTTGTTTGTTTTTTGGTGCCAAAAAAGCATTTAAAAGAGTTTTTGTTTTCAGGGTTTTTGTGTTATCCTATATACTCAAATCCGTTTTTATTATACTGACTCGCTCCTCTTTATTTGAATACATTTCAACTAGTTTTCTTCCTAATAAATAAAAAAATGAATAAATAAACACATTAGACATTGTGTATTTGATTGTACGGCTAATTGCAAAGTGAATTAGAGAAATACCCGCTCAAAAACCAAAGCATTTGTTTAATGTGCAGTTTACAGTAACAGTGGCAGCTTGACATCTCAAAATGCATTTAATAAAAAAAAAACTCAAATCATTTAAAAAGTTAATCAAAACAGTATGTCTTTACAAATAAACTATGTTTCATGAAAAAAATGGTGTAATAGATGGATTTAACATTTGGTTAGTCAATTTAGGAGATGCGTCGGTTTGCGGTTCTGGCTAAGCGCTATGAGATGACTTGATGTTGTAAATATGCGCTATACAAATAAAATTGAATTGAATTGAATTAACGTGTTTAAAGGAGCTCTCGGTGTCAAACAGAAGTAGACAAAAACAAACCTGTCATTTCTCACTGATGGCCATGACCATCTTGTGATGACTGTGGCTAGCAATGCTATGTGTTAATGAAAGCTTTTGCTTTTGTTAAAAATAAGCCATGAGCTGGTTGAAAACTCAAACGGATTTTGTTATTGGCTCCAGGGGATTTGTTTTAAAATCTAAAGCCTAGTAATTTTTTTTTTCTTGAAATATGCCAACTAATGCTGACTAGTGTTAATGGAAATTACTAAAACTAGTCCGATGTGTTCAAGGCAAAAAGACAGAATCCTCTTCTGCTGATGATCCGTAGAATGCGTGAAACAAAACAGCGGTGTTTGTGTATTGTAGCATGGAGCTAATTGGTGCAAGTTATCGGTTCTGACATAATCCTTGGATTGTTTGATTGCTACTGCACAAATAAAAAGAAGAGTCAGAACATTTTTACCACTCATAGGCTCAAAATCACAACATCCAGGACTTAAAGAACCTGCTGCTACCATCTTGGTGCCAGATACCACAGTACACCTTCAGAGGTTTTGTAGAGTCTCTACATTGCTGCAGTGATAGACTACTTTTTTATTTGTGCATGTGTTACAAGCCCAAGGTAGTACTGTGACTGAAAGCAGGGCAGGTTACCTCAGCTATAATCATATCCACTGAACAATTCCGTTTTTATCTGCCTTATTTAGTTTTATTGAAGGGTCAGTTTCCCAGTTATTATAGGTAGTGTGACCCTGCCACATAAATGAGGGGGTTTCAATTTTCCACATTAGTTTCTCCTGAGCATGACAACAAATAATTACATTGCACCTGATTTATTCAGTTCTGTTATATCCCAAACAGCATCCCCATTCTTTTTTTAGGATTTTACTAATATCGCCGCTGAACTATTTGGAGTAGAATGACTGTGATGTTGATGTAAAATCAGAATACAGTCCTCAACACAACTGCTGTTTTCCTAGAAAACATTCTCTGAACTTTTTTATGAATAGGAACTTCTGCAGTAAATATTTTTGTGTAGCTTTTGGAATGAACACCTGCTATCGACAGTCTCTGCAGTCCTTATCTCCCCCAGTGTTACCCTTCCCTTTCCTCCACTTCCATCCACCATCCACCCACCACCACCCTCCACTCATTCTGCTTCCATTCTACAGCCTCAGAAGGCCTGTTGGGAACATGAGAGTTGTGAATTCAGACTTTACCGTTTAGCTCCCATCTGCTACAGGAGTTGAGCTCCCTATTGGGCACTGTTGTTATCCTGTCTACATCATTTTATTGCAAGTTGCACACACACACACACACACACACACACACACACACACATATCCTTTTCTTGCTTTTTTTTCTCTTCTCTTTCGCCCGTTCTTTCCCTCAGAGACACAGTTAACATGAGTCTTTCTGTAGCCCTTGAGAACTTGTAAGCCAACTTTATTGTGCACCACTGACAACTTTTTTATATCCATGGGTGAAACGATACAATGCCGGCAATGTCTGGCTTGTAGGTTGAGGCCGCTGAGTCCACAGTTCAGCTGGGGAGGCTTCTTCTTCGCTCAATATTAAATTGTCAAGAAGTGGCTGTGACATATATTAATTTCATCTGGGAGGATGTGATGGATGAAATTTTCTTTATGATTTTCCCACCACCCTCCTGGTGGGAAGCATGCTGCCAGAAGGAAGTTTAATAAGCTGCGAAGCGGTGGTTACTGCCGACAACGTTTCCACACAGCTCAGTGGTGCTGATAAAACACCTTCGATAAATAACATTTGCTGCAGTGGTCTCTTTGGACCCTCTGTGTTTGAAGCACACACAGCTGGTTGCTGCATGTTTCTGCAGTCATGCAATATTGTTTCTTCTTATAATATATTTCTATCCCCAAAAGTAACCAAAGAGTATACAAGAACACTTATGGTCGTTTTTTGCTATTTATGGGTAAATTAAAGAATTATTACTCCAACATAGATAATTCTGTCTATTTGTTTATTTTGCCTGTAAACACAAAAGGTTTATATGATATTTGCAAACACTATACCCTGTCGACCATATCCTCTAGTACCCATGAACAAACAAGCAACATCCTTACAGTATGGATGTGGGGATAAGTTCACTTGATGTGTCCAGCTCAGGCTGCTGTAGCCTTGTACTATTTTCAGATAAAGCTTGAAATTAGTGGGAAAAAAATGCAACTAATGGGGATGATTTCATTTTCAACATGAAGGCCCACTCTGGTGTGTTAGACAGCATTTTCAAAATACTAAATGAAGGATTATCTTTTGGGATGAATGGTTTTCTTCCCTCAGGTAGAACCCCACACACTCATGACAAGGAATATTGATATGATCCTCTACAACCTCAAGCCACTTTGTTTTTTATTATTATTACTATTTTCACCTGTAATTTGTCACTCATAAGTATGTCAGTGGATGCTGGAAGTAAGCTGCCCTGTCTGATAACCCAAGGTACAGCAATACCATCACAATGGCAGACAAGGCATGTGGCCTTGTCAAAGGAAGGAGTTAGACCCACATGGCTACTCTTCAGGATGGTTTGGAGGGTTTACGACATTCTTCCACTAACTGTTAACTTCAATGATTGGAATTTGAAATTCTAAAGATTAGATGATTGCTGAACTGTCTTAACCTTTCTGTTGATGTGTGTGTTGTTTTGATGTACTGAACCTTTTGTTTTTTCTTTGTGTCTTAGGTGATGGTGTTTGTCCATGCTCGTAATGCCACAGTGAGGACAGCCATGGGGCTTATCGAGATGGCCAAGAATCATGGAGAAACGTGTTTTTTTCAACCGGACCAGGGTCCAGACTATGGCCAATGTGAGAAACAGGTAAAATGCCTTTTACCAATATGTGTTTAATCCCTTTAAAAGTAGAAAAGTAATCAACATATTATTTCAGCTTTTACAATGTATAGTGAGAATTTCCTATGCTCTTGGGGAAATTGGTATAAGTAAATTTCTTTCTCCGTTATATATTTTGACAGGACAGTCAACACCATGGGCATACACACATGTGTGTAAATTATTAAAAATAGCCAAACCAATTCCGTATCTCAGCCATCACCAATGGGTGCAACCTACATTCTCCAAGCAAAAATTTGAATGCCTCTCTCAGATAACACTAAGGAAATGTAGCTGCAGGTTTAGGCTACACATCCTTGGGATGATGCTACATGTAGCTTTTGTCTGCTTCTTCCTCAACTCAAATTTTGCCTGGATGGTGCAGAATGATTGTCCAAACAATCCCTCAGCAGAGACTGACTTATGCAAAATAAAATGCTTCTGTCCCTACCTGGAACATCAGAGAGAGTAAGCCACAGGTGCTTTGTGCCAACACTGACAAATCCATACCTCATTCCAAGGAGAGAGCTTCACAACGTGATATGTGAAGAATGTATTCTATGGTGACTCTGATCTCATTCAGGCAGAGCTGCCAGTGTACCATCAGGCTCAATAAGCACATCACCTTATACATCTACTGCATGGTGACAGAGTTTAGTGGGGCTGCCCTTGCTGTGGTAGTGGGGAATGACCTTATGCTGTCTAGATCCAGATACTGTCCATAGCCAGGTTCTGTGATGCAGGGACACAGTGGTTTGCTGAATATTGAAGTTAATTCTGAGACAAAGTCAGGGCACATGGGCAGGAGGTTTTTATCCGTTATTGGCTCAGGAAAAAGAAAAGGAATTCCACATACCACGGTTGTTTCTGAAATGGTGGAAGAGAACCACTTCATCTCTTGTAGCTGCACAAACGTGTCATTGCTGCCAGCCTGAGCAGAAACAGAGGCATACTGGCTTGATGGTAAACCTTGCATGTCCATGCCAACATCCAGCACACTGTCATTATCATGTGAGCGTCTAGTCCAAACTGTGGCTAACTAGCATCCTCAGAGGGCACCAATTTAGGCTCGCTACCCTGTCAATGTGTGGTCCATGGGGTCAGCTCAGCTTCCAGCAGGGACTTTGACCAAAAACTTGCCGTCAGATTCAGACAAATCTAGGTCATGCCATGGGGATGTAATCTTTTCCTGCATTTTTTCATGGAACTTGACCTGTCTTTCCAGAGTTAACATAGAAGCTAGTAGCAAAATGCAAACGCTTTAGGCTCAACGCCCTTTTGGTGTAAACAATCCCCAGATAGACAATACTTGCCCTGTGCTGATTTTTGTCGCACAAAGAGAAGCTGCAACCCTGAGGACCGAGGCCAACAGAAGACTTCTTAACCAATTATGCTTTCGGCTCTCACAGAGACACAATCCTCATGAACAGAAAAGAAAAAGTTGAAATTATGCACTTAGATATGACTGCCCTCTGCTTGACACTAAAGGTGTGGCTTGTAGCTGAGAGACACATCCCCTACATCTGTTGAATAAATGGCATTGTGTGGTTAGACATTAGTGCAAGGTAAGTGGCAATTTGCAAGCTTGGGGAAGTAAGGTGATGTACGAGTGCTAAGGTGTTATAGCTAGTGTTTAGTGTTTTCATGGTTAGCTTGCCAGCTATAGCAGTTTACCAGCTAGCCTCAAAAGTAGTCAGTAAGTCATCTAATTCTAACCATACCTATTTTGCAACGATGTGGTGGTAAATTTTCCAGTACCCCATTATGACACTTTGGAAACCACTATTACCCATATATAATATAGACCTGTGGCACATATAACTTTAAGACAAGACATGATTATGCAATCAACAAATTAAGCTGAAAAGTCACAGATAAGAATAGCAAGAAAATTAAGCATAGAGCCACATTGTCATGCCTGTGTGCTGGTGACAGTCGAGGCTATTACCTATACAGCTTTGAGCAAGGTTCCATCAAAGAATATTAAGAGTTATAGGAGTCATTATAAACTCACGACTGCCAACATTACATGATCTTTACAAGTTTATGTAAAGCTTTGTTCACAATTTTATGTTTCCGTGTTATCCGTCCATCTATCTGGCATTCTTGTGAAGTGATATCTCTTAAATGAACCTGCAGGGAATTTCTTCCAGTCATTATTACTTTTGGCCATAACTCGAGAATTTACAGGCTGATTATTATGTTGTGTTCACACCAGACGCAAATTCATTGCGTGATTCGCGCATAATTGGACGCATGTGTGCACTGAGTTTGCTCGCTTCATTCGCGCAAATAAGTCGCATTGTTCGTGTGTCAAGATTTGTGTCTGGATTCCCATCATTCGCGCAAATGATGTGAATCCAGACACCGCCGTATCCGGGTCCATGAGATCCCCCAGAGATGCACACAGCTCGGGGAATTCTCCCACCTTCTCCAGGAGCTGTGCCTGGATGATGGCTGCTTCCAGCGCTATTTTCGACTGACCCAAACCCAGTTTGACTACCTGCTGGAGAGAATCGGTACCAGGATATCCCTCCAGGATACGAACTACAGGCACTCGCTGGGATAGCGCAATGTTTTTTCATTGCCACATACAACAACAACACGCCAGCAGGAGTACGTTGACCACAGCGACGAGGATCCAGCGGAGGTTTATCCCACTAGCATTGCTAGCAACTCGGCTTGCTAGGTTGCTAAGTTGAAGGGTGGCATTCTTGTGTGTGGACTGGAGGAGAGGGACAGCCCGAGCACTGAGGTCTGCCTTGGCCACTAATGTAGCTACTTATCTCCTGGGGTGGGTAAATCAATCAGTGTTCACAGTGTAGTTGCAAAAGAATGAATGAATCATGTTCTTAACGTCCCCAGAGAATGTCAACACTGATTGGCCATCGCGGCGCAAAAGATGGCAAAAGTTCAGATTTTTGAACTTGCGCGTCTAACGCGAATTCACGTCATCCGCGCAAATAACTTGCTCAATTCGCGTCATTTGCGCCGCAGGATGTTTACTCGCTTGTAATTGCATCTTCACATTGACTTTACATGTAAATCATTCGCTTGCATCTGGTGTGAACACAGCATTACACAGTCTCACACAAATGTCTAATTGAATAAAATGATGAACTGGTTGGCAGAGGGGCTGCAGGGTGGCACAGTTGGTAGCACTGTTGCCTTGCAGCAAGAAGGTTGCTGGTTCGCGTCCCCGTGGGGGCACCGGAATCTTTCTGCGTGGAGTTTGCATGTTCTCCACATGCAGTGTGGGTTCTCTCCGGGTTCTCCAGCTTCCTCCCACACAGTCCAAAAACATGTTGAGGTTAACTGGTGATTCTAAATTGTCCGTAGGTGTGAATGTGAGTGTGCTTGGTTGTCTGTCTCTAAGTGTGGCCCTGCGATAGACTGGCGACCTGTCCAGGGTGTCCTCTGCCTTCGCCTTAAGTCAGCTGGGATGGGCTCCAGCCCCCCCGCGACCCTCGTGAGGATTAAGCGGTGTATAGATAATGGATGGATGGTTGACAGAGGCAGAGGTCGTTCTATTTTTTATTTATTTATTTATTTATTGTCTTGTGTTTATTTAAACTGGGACTAACCTGCTCCACACTTTTACACTTCTGCAAACAGAACCTGGTTGTGGAAAGTGAACATGCAGCCTGGCGGCAATTCCAAATATAATAGAGCCAACAACACAAAAGAGAACACTGGATTTCTTGATTCACTGCTCATTGTTACTAACTCCATACACATAGTTTTGACGCTATATTGCCTGTGTGTGCAGGCATGAGAGGAGAAAACGGATAGTGAGTGTGCATGTGTGTAATTAATGGTCTGTGTGCTGTGAGAATACACAGAGGTGGAGCTATATTCTCCCTCAGAGGACGGTCAGTCAGACTCCGACTCGCATATTTAAATTTCCTGCAACAGAAGGCAGAGTGATAAATTTAGTAACCTTTTCCTTCGTTCCCTGGGGCTGAGCCAAGATTGATGCGTCTCTAATCTTCTCTCTATTTAAATGGGATATGTATACAAATCAGATCACTTTTCATGCTTTCTAAAACTGGAAATAGAGACAAGAGATTAGGTTGGGGGACTAAAAATGGTGCGCTGTGGCCTGGTTAGTCTTTGAAACAGTACTTTAAAAGCAATTGTGCAACTGATTCCTATAGTTTCTGTACATCAATGAATCTTGTTGTATATGCACTAACTGTAAATTAATTCACTCCTAGCTCTTCTGCCTGTGCCCCAGCATAATGAGTATTATCCACTCTATTAGTTCATCTGTGAGTGTTTGTCAGTCCGGCCTGCTCTGGCAAAGGAAGGGGCATCAGGCTGACTCTACTCTAAGCCCACACAGAGATAATGCACTGCTTATTTGCACTCTGGAAATTGCCCCACATTAATATTTATAGGTGTTTTTTAATCTCCAATATGCATATGCAGTGAAATAAAGCCCCTTTAAGGTCAGTCATATAATTTAGCGTTTATTTATCCAGCTTTAAAAGTCACTCTATTTTTCTCTTTCCTGTCCATGTTATTTAATTGGCTTTATCTCAGGGGTTAGAGAAGCTGTCAGTCAAGCTTAGATATCTGAACGCACCCACTAGAGTCAATTCTTGTCAAATACAGTTTTTGGTGAGTTGATGATTATAAAGTGCTCTTGAGTGCAAAATGAAAACATTCAGAAAACACTCTCGAAGAGGGTATTTTATCCTGCCTTCTGATCATGTGCATACACTTCATAAAGAATTCTATGCGTGGATGTGAGGGGGTGCCCATAGAATATGAGGCTTAAGCTGTGCCCACAGTTCTTGAGTTGTTTTTATCTTTTTTACAGATAAATACACATAGGGGCTATTATATACTCAAATATAGCAGCTAAATGAATGAATTTCATTGCATTATATAACAAAAAGTCAAAGAAAATGGCAGTTATTTTAAAGAAAGCACATGCACACTTGCCATGTGCTTAAAAATGAAGAAAACATTGATTTGAACAC